GAATTACCTTCATCTATCAGAATTAAAGGATTTTCGGTTTGAACCTTCTTTAAAGCTTGAACAACTTTTCCAGGCATGGCACCAACATAGGTACGTCGATGACCTTTGATCTCGGCAACATCAGTCAAACCGCCTACACTGAATCTATAGAATTGTCTCGACAGAGCTCGAGCAATTGATTTTCCAATAGAAGTTTTTCCGACACCTTTGGAATAAAAGAGTTAGCGCGAATGTTAGATGTATAGTTTCATGGATCCTAATTATTAAAACTAAATCACACGTACCGGGAGGACCAACAAAACACAGAATCTTCCCTTCTACGGTACCCCTTAGTTTCCCGACAGCGATAAACTCCAGGATTCGATCCTTCACATCTTGTAAACCGTAATGATCCTCATCGAGTACTTTCATAGCATGTCCAATATTATAATTTTCTGGAGATCTCTGGCCCCACGGTACCTGAGTGAGCCAATCAAGGTAATTGCGCGTGACATTGAATTCAGAAGCTGCTGGCTCTAGGTGGGCAAGCTTATTGATTTCCTATTGTAACAAAAGGAAGGCTTGAGAATTTAAATTTGTTCAGATGCGTTATTAATTCATTCTAAATTCGTTCTTACTTCTTCAAAAACTTTTTTGACGCCATCAGGCATTTCTAATTTATCGGCCTTCTCCTTAAAATTTTCGACAAGTTTATCTTTACCGTCTGATTCAATTCCCAATTCTTTTTTTATTCCTTTTAACTGTTCCATTAAATAATATTCCCTTTGGCGTTTGGCAATCTTTGATTCAACTTCTTTACTAATTTTACTTTGTAGCTGGGCATTTACTAATTCTTTCTTAAGTACAAGCAAAGCCTTCTGCAGTCTTTCTTCGATGATCAAGCTTTCGAGAACTTCTTGCAGTTCGTTTGGTTCGCCTGTGGATACCGCCGCAGCAAAATCAGCGAGTTTTGCAGGCTCTTCAAATACATTTCCTGCTGATTGGGACATTGAGAAATTTGCTATCTGGTCGCGAAAGAGAGGATTCAAAGTCGCAATATCTTTAAAAACAGCAACAATTTCTGATGTTATGGCGCGGATCACTTGATTTTTCCTGTTGTACGTTTCGTCATTGAGGTTCTCTACGTTGACAAGTGAGACATTATAGTCCTCCAGGAAAGAAGTAGCATATTGTGGTTCATGCTCTGAAATAGATGCACAAAATTCATGGTCAATTATAAAAAGAAACATTCAATCAAAACATATAGGAGTAAGTTAATCACCCTTATGCTTGCTAGTTGTCTCAGACGTTTGTTTTACCGATTCGGAAACGACGTCCGCTTCGGAAGCCCCGCTTGGAAGAGGCGGTAAAAGTTCGGTAATACGAATACGTCGGTGAGGATACAAGACAGCCGTCAAAGAATTTTCATCTTGGCCACCGTTAGCTGGGAAAACGCTCGTGATCTGGGCGAAAACGCCCACTTTGTATATTTGAGAAATGTCTGTTATAGTATCTACATCCAATTCCTCATCCTTTAGCAAAAATGCTCCCACATACGGTTGCCCACGTTTCATTAATTCTTTCACGGCAGCAGTGACATGCGGATCCTTTATGACAACAGCTTTGTAAAATCCAGGAAACAATGGTCTTCGAGCGATAGGCAAGGCCAAAACCTGAGGATAAACCTCAGGTATCGAAGGTTTTTGTAATGTTGTTTCTAATACATGCAAAGTCCTTTGGATACCTTCGAACGGGGATCGGGGAGGAGGACTATCTCCCGAACCATCCCCACCTTTCCCTGAACCATCACCCTTATTCCCACTACCAGGATTATCGCCACCACTACCAACACCATCGCTTTGGTTTCCGTCACCACCTTCGTTATCATTTTTTGAACCATTTTCAGATGAATCAGCACCCAACTTTAATTTTGACAGACGAAATGTTCTTGAAATAGGTGAATACTGCGAACTATTACACGTGAAAGTTCTCCGAGAAGTTGTTTCATATTGCCATGGTTGAATTAGAAGTAGTATAGGAGAATGAACAGGTGCAGGTGCAGGCGACGTTGGATTCGACAAATTTTTAAGTATGCCGCGACTTATTACCTGAGCCCGAACCCCCGCCCGGCTTGAAAAATGTTTCGTGCTTCTTGTGAAAAGATGAGGGGAAGAGTTTAAAGTTAATGGAAGGCGCGCAAAAGCGCCTCCAAAAGGAGGTTTGTAAGCAATCTTTGTGCAATTTCGAATTGAGGCCATGGAAGGTTGACCGTTTCGAGATCACGGTCGACTCTATGGAGCTCTTTTCATTAACAGCTCTTAGGTCGACAAATTTAGAGGAATA